AAATATGTTTGTCTCTTAAAATTTAACTACTCAAATAGAGCTTATTGATAAATATGTGATAACAGTTACTATAAGTAGCATATGTCATCAGAACCACTTTCTTGTACAATCCAATATATACCTAATGGAATTAGTGCGGGGGGACTAGTAGAAATGGCCATTGAAAGCATTGTTTAGCCATCCAAGTTTGGAAGATTTTCCTTTTGAGTCCATAAGCCTATGCATTTCTTTGATGGAATCAGTCACGTAGTCAAAACGTTCAAATTGAACTATTAACGTTTATAAAGTGCGTTAAACGAGCGATCACTAGCAGTCGCCCAGCGGCGCATCTTCATAATTTTGCCTGACGCGACAGCGCATCAGAAGCTCGGTAATTAAGGCTCTTCACGTGCTACAGTAATTAAGATTTTCTCATCGTTTGATCCATTCCCAATTGAGAACATGTTTGTGCTTTTATTTGTGAATTCTGTTGCTTCTTTTTCTCCGCCTCGGACTCTACGTTCATTTTGTTGACCATTAATGGACAATTTAAATCAGACTTATGAAAGGATGTCAATGAAAGAGAATTGATGGCAAGGGAACAAAAACGGAAAGGAGGCAGTGCTCTAAGAAAAGCACCGCCTAAAATACAGATAGATCCCGTAAACGAGATTATTCCTTTGGAGGTGGCTAGTGAAACATCTTCTCCCTTCTCGGTGGCTGGTAAAATCGGGGTACTTCCTTTGGAGGTTTGGACAATCCACTTCTCCCTTTCTGGTGGCTGGTAAAATTGGGACGCTTGAATTATTTTATTATTTTTATTTAAAGAATTCTTGTTTGATTATCTCCCATTTTAGTAGTTAGTTGAGCGATGTAAGATTAGCCTACCATGATGTAGGTTTAGCGAATTTGACAGGTCCTCAGAAGCTAGTCAATTCTATGTCTCACCCCAATGTAGCCTTGAGTTATTGAATTATTTTATCTCGTGTTACTTTCATTATTAATACTCCGTAATAATTAAGTCTTCTTCTATCAAAAAACTATTGAAATAACTACTCCGTATTATTTTTTTGATTTAGAATCACTCTTACTCAAAAAATGTACGTAGTAATACTTCGTACTTTTTGTAGTACTAGTTATTTAAACGCGCGATGTGCGAGGGGATAATGCCCAATTTCAATTTCTGTATAGACGTTTATTTGTATCATACATCATAAGCCTATTGAGTGTGTTACAATGTCATACTTAAGAGTGAGACATAAGTGAAACTTTTTATATTTTCGTGACAAGATAGAATTGTTATTCTTAAACGTGCACTTATTTAGTGACAAATATTCAAGGTGAGATAGATTGTTTTGGTGAAATAAAAATTAAAATACAACAAACACTAAGAACTAATAAGATATCGTGTAGGACTGTAAAGTTCCCTGTTTTTGTGGAGGTACAAAGATATAGGAGGCAATTGGAAACATATATAAAAGTCAGGAAATTAAACCAAATACATGAGTGCTGAAATCTCCTCCATTACATTCCTCCGAAATTCATCAAGGAGTGTTCACTAAAGTTAAGAAGAAATAGTATATTACTAAACATTCCAAAGGTACAACCAACAAATTTATGTTCTTAACTCTAATTTGAACTTGCATGGTGCATCATGAACAATGTCTAGTCCAATTTATCCGTGTACTATGCTTCCTCTACTTGGCGTAGTATTATAAATGACTTCCCGGTGTATTTTTTATAGAGAAGAAAAAATATAGGATGAGGCAGAAAAGTGGTTATACAATCTATGGGGTTTTGGGATGAAGGAACGGTACTGGCCTGGGCTCGTACCGGTTTTTTTTTTTTAAATTAGTCTTTTCGAAATTATTCCTAACCCCCTCCCCCCACTCACCTCCAAACCCCGCCAAAACACCCAGCCCAACCCACCTAGTAGCAGCCCAATGCCAAAAAAAAGTTTAAAAAAAAGGCTCGGGCCGGTCCACTAAAATCAGGGCCCATAGCCCGCCCCATAAACAGCCGGTTCAGGGCCCCAGTCCTGGTACCATCCGACCAGGCCTGCACAGGGCCGGTTTGGGTCCCGGGTCGGGCCGGTCCGTCCCATTCCATCCCTATCTGAGAATCACATTCAAGTTGCTCTCATTTGTTCTCTTACTTTCCACTGCAATTCATTTATTTCTTCACCAGCGAGTGAAAGCTAGGGATGGACCAGGCCTGGGTCGGGATATGGGCAGGACCAGGTTTGGAAACTGGAGGCCCTGTACCAGGCCAGACCATCCACTATAGCAGTGACTCGTCATTCCTTTTATTCGTGAAGTTATCAATAGTGTTCGAATTCAACATGTTACATGTCTAGGGGCGACTTTTAGATAATTAACATATTGTAAGCTTTACCCATATCATCTAGATATAGGACTGATAATACATTTCTCGGCATCACTCCACTTAGAAGGTAAGGTTCTACCATTACTTTTAGGCAGGGTTTTTGTATTAGAATGTCTCCTGTTAGTAATAACTGGTTTCTTCATATGTGCATAATGAGGAGATGAGCAGCGTGCAGGACTAATGAAATGGTTTTTCGTATATACCGAATCAGTTCCTTGCCAATCTGATTGTTTTAATATAGCTTCGGATCTAGACTGCCTATATTGACATTTTAATGAAAAAATGAAGAAGATGAGAGATTAAGAACACATCTTGAATACATCAAGCTGAGCTTATTTTATAAGCAATTAAAGTTGCATACCTTTAAGTTCTGTGTCCCCTGTCTCAGAAATACCATTACCTGCTTTGTTAGGTGGAGTACAATTACACAACGAAGTTCATAATCCACGAACGAGAGAGGTTGGATGGTGAGTCGGTGAGTGTGTGATATTGTGATAGTTCGAGCAATCAACTGCATTGGGAATTGATTCACATGGAGATGAAGACTTGCGGCCAGCAGAGAAGGTCGATCGATGTAGGACCACTGCAAATGGAGGCAGCTGCGTATTGTGTGAAGATGGGACGTCGTTTGATGGGGAAGACACAAATTAACGGAGGCATTAGACGGATTTAAAACGGAATAATAAGTTTCTTAAACAAAGTACACATGGTAAAATATATTGTACGACCTCATTAAGCTAGATGATTACACCAACACTTTTTACATCCCTAAAATGCCCTAACCCTTGTTGACAATTATAAGCTTTTAAGATATTTATCTTCTAATAAAGCTTTAAAAGGAGTGTCATACAATTAAAAATACAAATAGGGAAAGTATTTGGTTACAAAGGTGTGTCTAAATCTCTTAAATTACATCACTATTAAACTCTACAAATGCTTTCCTTAGAATCAAGTTAGCCAACAATCACAAACACAAAAACTCTAAGCTAGACAAATACAGAAACACCTTTTGTGCTTCATAATGGACTAATATTAGAACTTTAGTTTAGCCTGAAGACAGCTAGCCTGGCCCTTGCTCTAGTCAGACTGTTAATCATTGCATTGGCATCTGTTAATTCTGCTATATGTTATGTACTGGCTTTGCTTTCAAGAAGGGCAATTTGATACGTGGATTTGCTCTGTATTTTTGTGTAACATACTGTAATTACACTTTTCACCTCATATAGATTGGGTGATAAGAAAAAGGGTGTCAATTTGAGAATAGTAATAAAAGAATATGAACTTGGGCTGTCAATTTGCATTAAGTTAAAAGATAAAACTATTTTAATGCATTTTCACGAAAAATCAATGACCTGTACATGAAGAGGGATGGATGTCAAATATTACAAATCATATTAATGCATTATTAAGAAAAATATGTATATCTCTATAAGTACAAATCATATACTATGTATAATATAGTTTTATATAAGTAATGCATGATTTCTGAAATGTTAAAGTGTCAGAGTTGGAGAAGGTCATAGTTGTTCTTGAATGTACATGGTCTAGAGAATCTGAATGCTAAATAATAATAACACTCTGGATTTTAACTCTTAGCCATACGACATTAATAGGCTCCTTAATTGGTCATCATAGTAGAAGTTGTGTTGAAGATTTAGTTACAGTTAGAGTTAAATTGATTAATAATGAAATCATCAAAGCTCAATTCATCCTCAAATGTGAAGAAACATAATGATTCACTCCTATTGAGGAAAAAATGAAAAACCAAACCTGTTACCGAAATGTTTCTTGAGTTACTGGACAACCTCGATGGCCTCTATCGTTAGGGATTTCTGTTGATCTTGATTGGGGTCTTGGTGAAAGGAAGATTGAGTTAGAGGGATGTATTTTGGATGCCGTGAATTCGTTCATAAACACCGCCTGGGGATCCTTCTAATACTCCGTATAAAATAGATCGGAGGAAGAACGGTAAAATCCTATAGAAGCTAATGGTACAACAGTGAAGTCAGGGTTCAACGGCAACAGACGTAGCTATTAACGAGAGTTAAAGGGGAAACTTAATTCCAAAGTAAAAGTACACAAGGTCAAACACAATGTACCATTAAATAAAGCAAATGATTACACCAACATAATTTTCTAACCTAAAATGCCCTAACTCTCATCGAGGATTATAAGCTTTTAAGATTTTTTGCATTTCAACTTCTATTTGCTCTTGAGCATTACGAAAATACATTTCGTACAAGACAAAATGTGTGCGCAACTTGACAAACAAAGTTAGCAAACAATTGATCGGCGTTTTGTGACAAATACCGGTTTCGTACAGACAAAAAGTAATTGTTGGTGTCACAAACAAAATAAATATGTTCACAACACAGATTTTTTTTGTCTGCGTGAAAACCGATTCTCTTTACAAAACACCGGCCAAATTTTTCTCAAATTATTTGTACACAGACCTTTTGATCGACGTGTAAAGTAAAAATTTTACACTGCTCAGTAATTTTAGTGAAAGCGTGAAACGCCTGTTTCGAAAATTGAATCACCGTGGCGAAGAAATCGAATAGCCGGCGTCTGTCCATTTTCGGAGTACTATATATATATAATGCATAATACTCCTCTGTTCTGCTACGGTTTTGATACTGCCGTCAAATCGTCAATGGATTTATGGAAAATCAGGAAACTGAGTCAAATGGTCAACGGCTACGATGAGGAGGCCCGGCTCCTCCGCCGTTTCGCCCCGATTCAGGCCCTGCAGATAAGGTCCGTCATCTGCCCTACCGGCCTCCTCTACCGGGAGGTCCTTGTCTACTCACCGACGGCGCCTTTTACCGATCCGCCGTCGTGGATCACCTTGCAAGAGGCGGAGGACCGCCTCCGCGTATTACTGAGGCATGAAGAAGCCGACCGCCTCTGCAGCCGGGCGGCGGCGCGGTTGGGTCGGAAGATTTCCACTGCCGACATCTCCAAACTCCCCGTCGAGGAAATGCGCGTGTTGCGGTTGTCTAACACCAAATACAAGTCGGTTCCCGATGAACAACGCAATGTCGCCGCCGCCTCCGGCGTTGAAATAACTGGCAACCGCCCCGGCAGGTCAAGCTCATTTCTTGCGATGGGCAAGGAGTGGTGGATCGGGTAATACGGTAGAAGAGATTATGCGAAGGAAAATTTTCCGAAATTGGAGATTTTATTTTTCAGCAAGTTTGGTAGCTGGTGCCAAAATATTTTATCTTTAAATAAATATATTTGTCTTATAAAAAAATTGAGTGTGTATTTAGGCCTCTCAATGGCTCGGGGTCTAGATCCGGACCGATCTGAATCTGACCCTATATTTGAGAAGAGATATACTACGTGTATATCCATTACGAAAAAAGATAGGGGTACACACTTTTTGTACACAAAAAGTGTACACTCGTCTGTCCCCCACAGACAAGTTGTCTGTCGCGAGATGAGTTGTCTGTCCCACAGACAAGTCATCTCGCGACAGACAACTTGTCTGTGGGGGACAGACGAGTGTACACTTTTTGTGTACAAAAAGTGTGTACCCCTAGTAGGCCTCATCCATTACACACACTATCGCGTCCAAATTCCTGCCCAAAACTCTCCATATTTTTCTGTTTTATTGTATATTACTTTCATCTCAAATTGATTTGCAAATTTGACTTTTCTTGGTCAAACAGTTTCACTTTATTCGCTTAATTAGGATGTCAAATTTTAATTATATTCTAATTTGGAGTTTATAACTATGAAGAGATTTTAATGTAGTTTCTGAATATATAAATTTCTATTATTAAAATGTACATTAATTGTCGATACGTAGCAATGATTTTTATTATTGGTTGACCAAAAAATGTTGACTTTGCAAAACAATTTGGGACGGAGGGATCAAATATATATATATATACATATATATATATATATACATATATATATATATATATATACATATATATATATATATACATATATATATATATATATATATAGGGGAAAGATCAAATACAAACTGTGCTTATTGTGCAAACATTTGTACGATGCACCTTAACGTTCTTTGTATTGCATATTGAGGTTCAAAGTAGTGCATATTATTCAGCTATAAAATAGCAGTTGCACATTAACGTTCAATGAATTGCACCCTAAAAAAGTTGGGTTTTATTACAAAAATGGCACCTTGCCTTTATGTCCTTTGGATCAATTCATCGGACGGTCAAGATGAGTTTGTACTTTGTAAATTAAGAAGGGTTTGTATTTGATCTCTATTCACTATTTTCCTATATCCTTTATTATTGCTTGTTAAATTGTGTTTTGACCAGAAATTAAACTAATCTAAAGTATACAATTAAAATGGGAATCAAGCAATAATGAATCAATATGGACGAATTGATACTGGAGAAATATATATAAATTATGTATATCTCTGTATTGATTTAGAGCTTCGAATACAGAATTTTTGGGAAGTACTAATGTGCCTCTTTTGTGAATAGCAGTATGTGTGCTGAATGTATTGTGTGTTACAATGGGATTGAGCTAGTCTATTTATTAAATAAAATTTGCTTTCTCCCCAAGAATAGGAACTGAACACCTATTTCTCCTCCACGTGCCACTTTTTCCTCTTGACTCATTCATGGACTCTTTTTATACTTATCTTTTCTTTAGTTTCCAGCCAGCCTGTGTTGGAGGGCTTCAGTCAACTTGTGGGCTGCCCGGACTTATTCCTATTGCTGCACCCGCTGGCCCATGTGTATTTTTCTGGGCCCAACATTTGCCCCCTTTCGAGAAGTTGAGGCGTATGGGCGCACATGTCAACACGTTAAGCGTCAACTTGTCGAAATCTTGAAAATATCTATACACGTCATCCTTGAATATAGCTCATATAAACTCGTCATTTGTACGATGCGATATGCTATCAACCTGCCATTCGTGTAACAAGACGCTTTTGTCAACTCGTCACTTTTCTGACGACATGTTTCCTTCAACCTGTCACTCATCTGATGAGACGACTTCATTAATTCTGTGCAAGTAGTTTTTAGATCGAATTTGTCTCCTTGATTGAGGTGACGAAGAACGGAGGCTGGTCTCCTGCCATCTTTCTCGAAAAATGATCGTATCTAAGCAATGTTGACAAGTTGAAACTTCGTCCAGGTTGATGTCGTCACTTTGGTTGACGAATATGATTTCGTCCCTCGTTGTATAAATGATGAATTTGACTATGTGAGTGTGATCGTAACCTGAAAAAACTTTAAACACCGTTTCGTTTGTTGTTTTAGTAATATCGTCGACATGAATATCTATGATGTATGTCAATGTCGTTCGTGTTGTCTCCTTATGTTTTGGAGCTTGTGTTGTCGCGCTCTTGGAGCACGTGCTTCTGTTGTGTATTTTCTGTAGTTTTAGATGTGGTTGTTGTTTCACATGATGATGTCACTTGTACGTGTACTGTTGTTGTTTTGTGTTTGTCTGACTTTGATGTTGTCAGCATTTGTGATGTATGATCTGTCTGTTGTTTTGGCCAAAACATTGATGAGAATCGGTGGTGTTTATACTCATGTTTAGCGTACATGAAAACCCCACCTCTTCCTCTAAAATTCTGTAAGCCCCCCGTCAAATGTGTTTTGACGTGTTGTAAGGCTTTGTTTGATGTAAGCCCCCCGTCAATTGTGTTTTGACGTGTTGTCAGGCTTTGTTTGATGTAAGCCCCCCGTCAATTGTGTTTGACGTATTGTAAGGCTTTGCATGTTAGGATTCTGTCATCGTCAATTCTTGATTGTACCCGTGCAATAAATATTTCGCTAACGTCGGCCGTTGGCTAAAAGCCAACGGCCCTCCGATGCTTAAGTTAGTGATCATTTGTGGATAAATGAAAGTAATCAATTGAGAATATGTATATGAAACTAAATATCGATCGTGAGAACCTATCTATCGTCAAACGATTTCAATTGTCTCGTCAGGTTTATTATCTGACGACATGACCCCTGTCTGACGACTTCAGTCATGTCGTCTGGTCTATTTAATCACGGGAGTGATGTCAATATGCAAAAGAAAATTATTAAAAGTGAAATAATTTTAAGTGTACCGTATTGCAGCTCTTAAGAACCTGACTACCATCGGACGACATGCCCCCCGTCCGACGACTTCGATCATGTCGTCTGATCTACCTTGTCACAGAAGTGACGACTTATTCCTCAGGCCTCGAATAAGGCTTTCCATGCTTGTAGTCATGTCTCCTGGGAGGTTCTGACTTTCCGTGCCCCCCGTCTTGTTCAATTCGTCTGTGACGACATCGTAAGTCTTCTTCTAGACGGATGAAAGCCAGTGCCCTTACTTGGACATCTTCGAAGGACCGACTAGGGTGTTTCGTCAACTCCTGATATAACTCTGAATCCTCCAGCAGTCCCCTTCTAAATGCTTCAATTGTCGTCGGTATGTGACACCTTTGGATTGACACCTTTTCCTTGTTCAATCGGTGCAAGTAATCCCTTAAGGGTTCATTCTGTCGCTGGACTACTCGGTAGAGGTCACTAGTCTGCTTCTCCAAGGCTCGGCTACTTGCAAACTGCTGATTGAATAAGTTGACCAGCTCCGCAAATGAATTGATGTTGTCGTTCGGCAGATTGACGAACCATGTCAACGATGGTCCTGTCAACGTTGTCCCAAATGCCCGGCACATGCAAGCTTCTCTCTGATGTGGTCTGACCGAGACGGCCAACATTTGTTGTTTGTACTGAGCGACATGTTCCACCGGATCAGAAGTCCCATCAAACAGTCTCATTGAGGGGGCTGCGAACTTCCTCGGAATCTCGACATCGGTGATATGTCGTCCGAAGGGTGAGTCTGCGTAACAAGTTTGCGTCGCCATGTCAAGCGGACGTGGGACTCCAGGTATGCTGTTGAACTTCTCTCGCAATTCCCTCAGTTCCTCCATGATGACGGCCAAGGGATCTGTCAAGTTTGTTTGTATCTGCGGATCCGCTGCTTCGGGAGGCGAATATATGGTGACGACCTCTGGCTCCTGACAGCTTCGATTATTGATGTCGTCATGTCTGGGGATGTCGACATGGCTTGGAACTTGTCGCCTCTGGTTGTTGATGTCGACATATCTGGGAATGTCGACATGATTTAGAACATGTTGTCTCTGGGGCTGTGCAAACAGATTTCGGAATATTTTCCTTCTGGGATTTGGGGTGGAAAGGAACGAGTTGAGGGCCCTGCTCCTCCAGATGTGTCGGCCCCGAAGTGAGGGATGAAAGGTTCGGTTGAAGCCGGAATCGAACCCATGTCCAGTCTCGTTGCCATGGTAGCCACATCCTCGCCCCGTCGTGAGCTTGAGGCTATGGATGCCACCGATTGCACCTGAGATCTCAAAGCGTCATTTTCACCTTGGAGGAAGGCGATTCGTTGACGCATTTCCTCCCGGACAGCTTCTAATTGTGCTGCGTTGGAACTTTTGGATGCGCGGAGCTCTTCTCGGACGGCTTCTAGGTGTGCTTGAATCTCAATAAACAGGGAGTTAGAACTTTCGGCCATAATTGATTCTCTTTTTGCAAGAATTTCCCACAGACGGCGCCAATTGTTTTGACCAGAAATTAAACTAATCTAAAGTATACAATTAAAATGGGAATCAAGCAATAATGAATCAATATGGACGAATTGATACTGGAGAAATATATATAAATTATGTATATCTCTGTATTGATTTAGAGCTTCGAATACAGAATTTTTGGGAAGTACTAATGTGCCTCTTTTGTGAATAGCAGTATGTGTGCTGAATGTATTGTGTGTTACAATGGGATTGAGCTAGTCTATTTATTAAATAAAATTTGCTTTCTCCCCAAGAATAGGAACTGAACACCTATTTCTCCTCCACGTGCCACTTTTTCCTCTTGACTCATTCATGGACTCTTTTTATACTTATCTTTTCTTTAGTTTCCAGCCAGCCTGTGTTGGAGGGCTTCAGTCAACTTGTGGGCTGCCCGGACTTATTCCTATTGCTGCACCCGCTGGCCCATGTGTATTTTTCTGGGCCCAACAAATTGATAACTTTTTTTTGCTGAAATATGGCAAGTCATATCCTAAGAAGTAAAATATGTTCGTAACAAAAATGATATGTAATCACTTCCTGTTCAAATCTGATTATATAAAAATCATCACAAACTTATTATACACCATCATTCCATCAATTATATACGAAGTATAATGATTATATTGGTAACTTTTAATCAATACGATTCTATACACTAAAGTAACCAACAACATCCAAGCCTTACTCCCAAACGATATTGGGGTCGGCTAACATGAATCGATACATGATATCATCCAAAAGAAAAGAAAGGAAATAAAGATAAAAAAGATAAGCTATTATAAAAAAGATAATATAAAATAG